TCGACTACGAAGGCGGGAAAAGATGAATTTCTGTTCTCGTTCTTAAAAGAAGCGCTGCTGAAGATTTCAAGATTTTGAGTGTGGGAAACTCTGCAAGCCTTCATATTTTAGAGATATAATTTTTGGGGGGCATCTACTTTAAAATCGTTTTCGGAGAAGCTAGATTTTTTTTTAATTATTGGGTAGATCGCTTTAAATAATTATACTTAAGTCTATCAACGAATTGCTGAGAGATTGTGTAGTGTCTTCCAGTTGCCTTTTCCACACTTTGGAATTCAGAGTTTTCCTTCTGTTAGACTGGTTGCCCACAGCTCCAGAGAACACGATCCTCCATCTTATTTAACCTATAACCGCTACAAGAAGAGACAGGTCCATGCCTTAAGCAACGGCGTTTGTGTGAAAGTGAACGTAATAGATGATACCATAACTTGAATGCCGATCACCAATCCCAATCTCCGTGCGCTTATCCGTTACACTACCCGCACGTGAGATATAAATTATATCCTAGATATAAATTATAATGGTACGATTTCTGTTTCTGTGTTCAGTACCGTAACAAGGGAAAATCGGTACATCGTAGCAACATTATGTTAGAGCAATATCCTTAAAATGCTGAAACTTCAAGAATAAAACAATTTCCAGTCCAGTTTTTCATGTGATAATAGTAAGGTTTCCGTGGGAGCTCGGCCCGATATTGATCACCGGACATGTATAAATTTTCTTTTACATTTGGGACAAAAGCGGAAAAGTAAAATAATTTTAAAAACGGTAAAAAGAAATGTTGACTCATTTATGCATAAACTAATGATACATGTGAAACAGTGTTATATTAGATTGCAATTCCGTTACATGTCTAAATAAATATTTCTGCTGTGTGGTTATATCAATCTGAACGGTCTGTAGAATAGATATTTGGTTTATTTAATGGCATATCAACTACTTATGGGTCATTTAATGCCGATATGTTATTTTCTTAGGAGCTTTGGAGTAATAAAAATATGTTATTCTGCTTTCACAATTGCATACATGGTAGATGATACTCAGCTTTTGTGCATATACATTTTTGTGGGGAGACAATTACTAGAGACGGTGATGGGTTATGTTTTTCGTAAGTTATACATGGTGTCCATAAAGTTTGTGTGCACTTTAAAAAAATTATTTGTATATTTGATAGAAATAATTTGTAAAAAGGATTAGAAAGAAGTAAATCTATTGTTTTTTTTTTTAAGGTTTTATTGAAATTTTATTTAAGTTTCCACATGTCCTCCATCATTAGCAATACAAAGGCTAATACGATTTTGCAGTCCACGGAAAACATTTGCCAACTGATTTACAGTAATGCCTGAAATCACATTAGTTATTTTAGCTATACTTAAAACTAGGTACATTAAACTTTATAACATTTTTTACAGATTATTTCTATCGCAAATACAAATAAATTTATAAATTTTTTAAAGCGCGCACGAAATTTATGGACACCCTGTATTTTGAAACACAGAAATTGTAAGATATATTGATTAATGTCATGAAAGTTAATGTCGGCTGTTGATTTTGATTAGCGGCATATCAAAGTCTATGGGTCATTTAATGCCAAAATCTAAATAATTTGAACATAATTTTATGGCTTCAAATAAGTATATTTTGAACACAATTGTATGCCTTCAACTTCAGATAAAATGTATTGCTGTTCATGTATTGTAGGTCTTTTTCATACGAAAATGTATTTCTGGTATTTTTACTATTAAAATGTATTTTTATTCTTTCATGGTGTTTTTGCTTGTGATTTCACTATTTGCCCATAGCTGGTAACCTAACAGGTGCTACCAACCCTGGTCAAGTTGGACCTGGGAACAAAATCATATAAGAGGTGTTTCCAGGCTACTCACAATCTCCACCCTTGATCAGAGGACTTGTTACCAGATGTAGTTTATCGTCATAACCAAGAATTCATCATATAATAGCGAACATGTAGCTTATTGTATTCTTGATGTAACATGATGTCAAATGTTATTATATATCTACAATGCTCACTGGCTGAGAGAGAGGCAGTTCTCGACATGGGGATGGGAGCAGACGAGAGAAGACAATTCGATTAACTGCTTGGCGACTCCTTTCCAAATTTACCACTTTGTCACATCTCTCATAAATCGGCAATCAGTCCGTGAACGCTTAGGCGATCATGTAGCTTTCGATACATGACTGACGAGGCAGATTTTTCCCGCAGTAGGTTGCCATTTCTTTCTGCGCTAGACGAGTTGCATCTAATGCTATAGAACCCGGTCTGTCCTGCTATTTACCCATAGCTGGCGGGAGAAGAAAAGGATTTATGCCTTTCCAAAGGGTATTAGCACGTAAGTGAATGTAATGAATTCGAGTGGAATTCGAACTCGGCTCTCTGATTCCTCAATCCAAGCCGCTATCCATTACTCCAGCGACAATGGTTACATCTGAACCACTTGACCACATGACCACTCAATAACACGCAGTTATGACGCGACCAGCGGCGGAAAGGCATCTTCAACAAAAAAATCGAAAATTGTTTATTTCGCTGCAAATTATTCATATCATATCCATGTTATAAAAAATTAGAGCCAATTACACAATATTTCAAACTCAATTTAGGTTTATATTTAATAACCAGGCAATGAGATGAAGTAACATAAACCGTAGATTTGTCTGCGGAATATCATTACATTATTTTTACATAATTATAATGAAATCCTTAAGGTTTTTTGGCAAAAGCCTTTTATTTTTGGTCGTATATTAATTTAAAATATTCTTTTTTTACAGGCTTTTTTTAAAATGGAATAAGATCATTCTAAATTTCAGAATTTCACTATCGTCATTTCAAAATTGACTGGAGGAAAGCGATCTAAAAACAACAATGGAAAAGAGAGGTAACAAAGCGTAAAAGAAATAGTTCCAGTTTGTTTAACTTAGAAAACTTAGCATTGCAGCCAAAGTAATCTAAAATGCTGCCAATATCAATGGAGAAAATGAAAAATACCTAACAACAAATCAAATATAGCATCAAAATTTATATTATTTTTATTTATTTGTCATGTAACTAAATACATAACTGTCAACAATGTTTCCGTTAATCTTGATATTTCTTGTAATAAATGCTTAAATATTATTGTTATTATTTTACTCAAACGTAAGATAGTCGTACATTTACAATTCCTTACGGCTAACCATGAAAAGAAATGTTGTTCAAAACTGCCTGGAACCTTTAAGCGCGTATTGTCGAAAAATTATCAAATATTGAATACGCCCCTCTTCCACCGAAAGCGTCATATATATGTCCGAATTGTTTATGACAATATCCACAAAATATTTTTTAATCATTTCACCGACAAAAAAAGGCGATAAGCCACAAAGATAGAAGATTTACTGGAGGCTTTCATCCTTGAGCTGGAGAATTTCTGTCTTAAGTTGATGGTGAAACCATTCCTGTGTGCAATAACATAAACCTGTTAACAGCACATCCTCTAAGTACTTGGTCGCCATGTTCTTCCAGTTTTAATGACCCAGCAGCTGAGTTCTTAAAAGCGAACAGCCAGATTAACGAAACATATGATTTCATTAAGATGGTAACGGCTTTGGTAGAACCAATGATACTTTTCGGAAGAATACAAAGAAATACTTTCATGGTAATTGTTCGGATGAGCTCTTCAATATATGGTCTCTAAACTCTTTAAATTTAGGCGTGTAATAAACCAATAAAGCAGTGTTCATCAAACCTCTGGGTTTCCGAACACTACTTGTCGACCTCTCTGCCTTCAGACAAAAAGGGACCCAGACGAGGCTATGCTGAAGGGTAGAGTCTCGTCTGGGGAGGTAGACAAACCCAAGCCCGTTATTACGGAGTGTACGGGGAAGTTTTGCCTGAGCCTTCGACCCAGGGCGCCTAACGTACAAAAAAAAACGGCCTTATGCCGTATCCCTACTTTTGGGTAGGACTCGAGTAAATATCGAGTTCCCACCAGTTTACAGTTGAGATGGCTAGATGTAACCGTAAATTCTATGCTAACAGTTTCTTTTCTCGCACTCTAACATGGTGGAACTCCCTCCCGGATTCAAGCTTTCCACCTGACATTAAAAATTTAAATGCATTGATTCCACTTCCTCTGTTCTGGCGCACAAGAATTATTTCTATTTTCTAATTCTTTCACATCCAGTAACTCCCTTGCATCTTAGTGGATTTATTTCCTTGCTCGGAATGAAATCGATTAAAAAAAAAAACATGCAGCTAATGTTTCGCAAGATCTCCAATGGACCCTCCTTAGATAGTGATTTTTTTTCAGTTCCAGTAACTCCCTTGCGTCATAGTGGCTTTACTACCTTGCTTGGAGTGAAATCGATTAAAAATAATAAAAATAAAAACACGTGCAGCTAATATTTCACAAGACCTCCAATGAACTCTTCTTAGATTCTGAATTCAGAACTTTCCTTCTCCTAACCAAGTTGCCAACCAACGCTAAAGTGCACGTTCTGCTTTACTATTTAACCCGCAGTGGAGAGACGGAGTGTATTAGACAATAAGTGAAAGTAACGAACACGAATGGAGTTCGAACTCGGCTCTCCGATTTTTTATTGCAAACCGCACCCCATTACACCACCCGCACATATGTCGCGTCCCCATGTTTGTCTTGAGGATTTATGTGTATGTTGAGAATATATGTATACAAGCCGGTAGACGATTTATTTATGCAGGCAGGTAGACGAAATTAAAAGTGATTAAATATCTAAACGTCTACTCCAAGACGGGTATCCAATAAAAATAACGTATTTATATATATGATGCATATAGGTATATACATATTATTCTTTTGTTTAAATCAATTCACCCCACCCCCACCAAGCAAGGCAATAATGCCACTAAGATGAGAATGAGAAGATTTTCGAAGGAATTGAAAACCCACTCCTGAAAAGGAAATAAGGGCTAACCCTCTAATTATGTTCAGAAGAGCGAAGAGGAGTGTAAACCACACACACAC